TTCTATCCTCCTTAGTCATTGTCCAACTCTCTGATGCGTAACAAGTGATTGCAAAGACCATGGCCTGTATCAGAATCATCTTAGTCTCCAGAGAGACACCACTGCTCTTCAGTACTTTAGAGAGGTCTCTAACAGCAGACTTTCCCATCGCAATGGGCCTTTTAATTTCCTGACTGCTGGTGCCAAGAGTGTTGACTGTCACCACAATACTCCCTACCAACTAGGGCACCAGAGATCTTAAAATAAGAAAGTAAGATAAAACAGTCCTTCCGGCAAACTTCTTTCTACAGCCAAGGTACACTGAGGGGGAAGTATACACCAATTTGCCATGAAATACAATGTTCTCCCAGCAATGTATAATTTTAAATTAAGAAAAGATACAACTGCGAAGAGTAAGACTTGAAATCTATGTCTTAACAATGAAAATGGGAGAGAGAGAACATATACACAAAAGTTTTGTCAACATGAAATGCACAGCAATAGCAGAAATCTTCCCCCTCCCCCGAACATCTATTATCCAGTGACAGCTGGAGAGGGACGCTTTCCTCTGACTTAATCGTGAAAATGCGTTTGAGTATCAATTTATAAAACTATACCTTTGAAAATATGCTGGAGGGTCACCTACAAATTGTTTCCAACACAGCAGAACATAACCACCACAACAACATACTTCAAAAAGTAAAACTAGTCCACACACCCAGGCTGGTCCATGTATAACTGCCGCTTCTGCTACAAGCAGCTGAACCTATTAATAGTGCTGGACATCTCGCACCAAGTGGCCTCTTTTTAACAATGTCAGTGACTCTTAACCCTTTATTTCTGTGAGGTCAGGGTGTCATTGCTATATGGAACAAGAGGTGGGACACCACAATGTTGCCCTCAGAAGCCTGCCGTAATCTTAAAGGGACACACGCACATTGGTGAAGGAAACCTTGCCAAAATCCTGTTTAATGTGCAACTTTGCAAGGCTGCTTCATGACGCCCCGTCTGAGAGATGGATAGCTTCACACTCACCCAGAACGTAAATAAAAACCACACAAGGGATAATTCATTAAATTGCCATTAGGACTCCTTTTTAAAAAAAATTAAATATTCAATATGATTTATCTAAAAAAGTATGCTATTGTGTGTCAGTTTTTCATGAGACTTAATCCATTAGTATTGCTGACTATAGTAGCATAATTCTTAAAATTTTAAGGAGGAGGACACATTGTCCAGAGATATTGATTATATATAACACCTATATACTCATTTACATTATAGTTAATAGTATAGGTATAGTAATAAAAATACAGGTATACAAGCAGAAGCAAATACACAAACATAACGTAATATTCTTGTGATTTGGAAACTGTAAATAAATATCTCTGAAATTGTCTTAATAGCCATTCTCTTTTGCTACGGAGAAAATATGACTGTTTTAAAAATGTATTTTAAATATAGAGTATGATAAAACTTGAACCACATCCAATAAAGAAGAAAGCACACATCCCATCTATATTCTATTTTTTAAAAAGGTAAAAAACAAAGGTTTTCATCTTTTTGCACGTAAAACAAGATCAATCCCCCAAAATGGCTGCTCTGATTATATGTACTTTAAAATATGTGGTTCAAAGGAGAGAATGTGGCGAGACTTAAGACAGAATGCTAAGCACACCAGAGTGTGCGTGTTGGCCAAGGCACCCCGGCTTTACTTCGTGGAGCCGATCAATAGATATTAGCTTTAAAGAGAGAGAGACAGAAAGAAGCGGCGGCATATTTTTTTAAATGACAAGGTGAAGGTTTAAACTGTCTCAATCAAGATTCCATTTTTTCTTCCAGTTTTTCCAGCTGTTCTCTTGCAGCCAAGACTATCCCTAGCAAATAAATTTAATTAGTTCCACTTGGTCATAGCCAACATTTACACAGATTAATCCATATTTCTTTACTTTTATAAGACAAACCTAACAAACACTTTATAAGACAAACACTAACAAAGATTGGGAGGTGGTGACTCCGGTAAGAAAACATTGGCACGTCAGACCCTCCCAGCCATAAAGGAACATTTCAATGGCTTCTCTGTCTTTAGCAAAACCATAGAGATAACCATGGCGTCTGATGCTTTAATTGCTATTGTGATCAGACTGTTTTTAACAATTAAGTCCTGGATTATTTAAAAAAAAAAATAAACATTCAAGTGCTCAAAATGCAAGCTTATATTTCTGTCACAATAGAATTTCTAATTACTTTGTAAATGGAAATTATTATGGCAATTCCTTCTAAATAGCTGGGGGAGAAAATGAATCCAATTTTTCAGAATAAGAAAAAAAATGGTCACACTGGCCAGTTTTCTCTCCCATAGCAGGTTTGCTCAACAATGCTGGTCACACTGAAATTAGATTACTGGGCTTGAAGCAGATTTCTCTCAATGCATCTACCGTATTTTTCATAATGCAATTTATATAGGATTCTAGTCAATGAAACGAAATATCGGGTTGTTGTTTTTTTTTCTAAACCCTCACAAAAATCTATACCACAGCTTAATCAAGTCACACGCACGAAAGGTAATCCTAGCGACATGCAGACTGCAGTGCGGGTTGCTTTGACAACATGCTAAGGAAGTCATTGCAGGCATTTAAACTGCTGGGAAATTGGGCCTTCCTGCTTCTACTATGCCATGGCACAAAGTGAATAAATCAACTGATAAAAGGCATTCATCACATATGTTTAAACGACTTTTATACGGATTATAACACTGTTTATGTAGCATTAACTCACTGTCTGAAGTAGATTTTTGAGTTTAAGCCTCTCGGTTAACTTAACAATAAAAGAAAAGCTGAGTTAGGTGTTCTCTTGTGGTTTTGGTGCAGACTTAAAAAAAAATAAAATCACTGTACTGTTTTAATGAGGCTTCCTAAGTGTTCAAAACCCCACTTGTTATTCCAGAATGTAAAACTGGGTTATTCTGCTTAATTTGAAATGTAAAATGTTTTTCTCTTCAATGAACTAAATAATTGCTTTACATTTTTAAACTTTGCAGAAAATGAAAACAAAACCTTTCTCCTCTCTTTGCAAGGTCAAGTCCGATCTGACTCACAACTGACCCTCCCATGAGTTTTGAAGGCTGTAAATGGCACTGGGGAAGAGTGCTGAGCTTTTGCCGAAGGGGCAGCTGGTAGATCTGAGCCTTCATGGAGAAGCTGTCTTTGGGATTCCCTAAGACAATACCCTTCAGACTATGCCCTTTGAAACATAATAAACATTAATAACATATTAAGCATTAGTAACATAATAAACATGAATAATATAACAAGCATCAATAACATAATAAAGAGTAGTAAAAGAAGAACAATGCAAATGGAACAGATGAAGAACCTAGTTGTACAAAAACATGAAAATGGAATATATTTTCTTAAACAGCTACTAAAACAAACTTGTAACTGTAGATGGCTAATTAGCTTTCATAAAAGTTAGATGTTTCTAAAACAGAGCTCTGGGAGCATGGTGTGTTGTGCATTTCACTACTAACCGGAAGGTCAGAGGTTTGAATCTACCAGCTGCTTGGTGGGAGAATGATGCCTTGGGGTCTGAGGGAGGGCCACCATGGACGGAACCCAATCCCAGGCAGTCTTTTTGTTTATTTTTAAATTGACCTTCAGAGAGGTTGGAAGTGTCTGAAATCATCTACACTTAACCAGGATTATTGTTTCTCATCAATGAACTGATATATTCCTCCTGAAAGTAACAAGTAGGAGCCACCACCATTATCTCATATTTTCCCAAAACCAAATGCTCCCCAGACTGGACAGGTACTTATCTGCAGCAGTCGCACATGGCTATAATTTTTTTGTTAATTTGTTTTACTTAATAGACCTTATTTTTTTTAGCACTTTCAAGTTTACAGAAATTTTGGATAGGACATCTCTGTTCCAAAGAGCTTCTAATCCCCCAGTATGGAAATCCTCCCCCATCTCATCAATCTCTTGCATTAATGAGGTAATTTGTTACAATGGATGAACCAGTCCTGATATGTTCATTATGATTTACAGCTTACAGCAGAGTTCACTCTTGTGCTATACAGCAGTGCTAGACATGAAGTGTCACATGCCCATCATGTAATGCATCATACAGAACCATTTCACTCCCCTAAAAAGCCCTCTGTCTTTTCCTTTTTTAAATCATTCTCATTTCATCCTCTTTGAACTCTGTAGTCATTATTGAGTGGCATTTAGCTTGAAGTACATTTTGTGTTTGGTGTTTACACTTCTTTACATGCTTGATAATATAGATAATAGAATAATATAACACAATATACTATAATAAAAATACAGATAAAAATGTTCCATAGATGTTTAAATAAGAAACCACTATTTAAATTGTTTGCTTTAAAGCATTTTGAGACAACATTCATTTCTATGTTAAATGTATAAAGACTATCTAAATTTTGGTAGACAGCCTATATTACATATTCTGCTACTCTAACTTTTATTTTGGGAGATGATCTATATTATTCTGCTACTCTTTTATTTCCATAGGCAGCCTATATTACATATTCTGCGACTCTAACTTTTCTTTTGGTACATGGCCTATATCATTCTGCTATTCTTTTATTTCCGTAGGCAGCCTATATTACATATCCTGCTACTCTAACTTTTATGATCTTCAGTTATCTCTGTAATAGGAAAATCTTTTGTAACAAAGTGTGTACATTCTCTTACAAGTTACAAAGCTTTACTAATGGCCCCAGCTCCAGAACCAGAAAGTCTGCAGAAAATCAAATGCACACCTAGCAGGTTTGCCATCAACAGGGACAACGATTAAACTTGGCCTGAACAAGAGTTTCTACTTTGCTCCACCTGAAGATCAAAAGGACATTAAAGAGTCTCATCAAACTAAACACAGCCATCGATACAAGTGCCAATCCATTCCATCAATATATTCACTCCGAGCGTAACTGACTTTAAAAACTCTCTTACTGAGCAGAGCTCTATCAACACTCTGTTAAAGAGGCCCATGCTCACCAGAGGTGATGTCGTCGTCCACAAGGTCATGCTCTTCCTCCTGGACTTTAGTTTCTGGCCCTGAGGTGTCAGAAGCGCTGGTGACAGTCTGGATGGATTCTGCTGTGACTCCAGCTGAAGGAAATAGGAAGCACATGTTTAACTTTAAAACACGAAGAGAAAGTGGGCTGAGGTGTTTAAAGCTACGTATGTCTGTAAAAATAGGTACATGTATATATGTATCCATACAAGTATGTATATGTGAGAGTGTGTGTGTGTGTGTGTGTGTGTGTGTGTGTAGAGATGTATACATATAAACCTTAAATACAGACCCACTGTCATCAAGTTAATTTCGACTCCTGGTGACCCTCTATGGGATTTCTGAGGCTGTAAATTGTTACATGTTGGGTTGAAAGGTCAACTGGTTTGAACCATCTGGTCACTCAAGAGGTGAAACTGTCTCCTCCTGTAAAATACACAGCTTGGAAACCCACCAGAGAGTCATTATGGGCTGGAACAGACTTGACAGCAGTGGGTTTGGTTTCATACCTCTGACACACACACATCTGGTTCGTTAATTTGTAACTCTTTAGTTTTATTTAGTGGTAGTAAGAATCTGCACTACAACCCTGAAGGCACGTGGTTCAAGTTCATGAGATGCTTTACAGGACTGGATGGACAATCTCCTCCAGTGCGATTACTACCTCTGAAAACCTGCTGGAAGGTCAGTTTATGGGTTGGTTCCAAAAAATGACACACCACCACCACCACCACCACCACCATCACACACACACACACACACACACACACACACACACACACACACAGCAGGGTTCAGATCTGATGTTCATTCACAGGGTCACTATGAGTTGTACTCAATTTAACATGACCTAATATGAACATCATGTTTGTTAGAGCGGAGGGGCGGCTAAGGAGATGGATCGATTCTGAGTGGAGTGGTGGGAATAAGTGCGTTTGAGATGGCTAGGTTGGCACAGGATAGAACAGCGTTTAAAGCTCTTGTACATAGAGTCGCTATGAGTCGCAAACGACTCAATGGCACATAACAACAACAACAATCTAAAGGTGTGTTGTTCAAATCCACAAGATTCTCCACTGGAGGAGGGGCGATCTCCTGTGTCAGTCAGATTCCACTCGACAGTACATAACAAGAAAAACAAAACAAAAACCCAGCACCTAGCAACAACAACGTGTGTGTGTGTGTGTGTGTGTGTGTGTGTGTGTGTGTGTGTGTGTGTTGAACAAAATATTCGTAACTGTGGTGGCCCAGTGATAAGGAACCGCACTGCCATCTCGGTGGTCTCAGTGGTACATGATTTCAAATCCACCAGGTGCATTCTCCTCCCGGGTGTTTTACTGTGTCTGAAAACCTCTGGGTGGGTCAGCTATGAGTCAGTTCCAACCTGACAGCACCTAACAACAACTATTTGTTTCTAGAACTTTCATTTGCACTGGGGGTTCTGGTGGTTCAGTCTGTAGCAAGATACGGAGCGAGCTCAGCCGGGGCATCTCCCGCGGTCTGAACTCACCAGCAGCTCCGGGGAGAAAGACGGGCAGTCGTCTTCTCCCTTTATAGACGCTTCCCTCCTGTCAGAACCGACTCAGAGTCTGAGTGAGGATATACTTACATGGCTACAGACTGGATTTACTTAAGTAAGATGTGGAAAACAAAATGAGGATACTAAAAGATGGCAAATGTTTTTGCTAGTTTTACTTCATAGGTGAATGTTACTGCTAATTAATTGATTATGATATAATCATGCTGCAAATGTGTGTGTGTGCACGCACAAGTGCGCGTGGAAATACTAGTTAAGTAAAACACTACTTTAAAAGTTTACTTGTTCTTAAGGGAGCTCTGGTGGCCTAGTGGTAAGAAGCTGCACTACAATCCCAGAGGTATGCAGTTTGAATGCACCAGATGCTCTGCTGGAGAAGGAGGGGTAATCTCCTCCTGTATCAGTCAGATCTGATTTGATGGTACACACACAAAAAAGAATAAAATTTTTTTTACAAGTTTCCTTGTTCTTACTATCAGTTTGTTTATAAATTGCAAATAGGGAAGAAGGATGAGGACAAAGAATTTTTTAAATTAACTGGAAAAAAAAAATAAAGCATTACCCCCAAATAGTGCAACAAACTCCTGTGAAGAGAGAGTTAAGGGATTATGGTCAGAATATTATCACAAGGAAAGATCCTCCCTGAAAGTGGACTTGGGCTGGAGAAGAGGTCACCTGTTTCCACTCCATAAATCACAGGAGGATTTGCTGATCCACGTCCCTTTCTTACACACTTATCTTTCCGTCTTTGATAATGTATTTTGCTGTTTGTGGGGCACAAACAACTTGTGCCTCTTACTAGATAAGAAGTGTCACTGGCGAGGGGACCTGCTGTTCTTAAAGGCTGCGGCCTCCAAAGCCCTGTGGACACGTGGGTCACCACGATCTGCAAGGTTTCAGAGGAACTAACCACACTGTGTTTCTATCATGTTATTCTTAACTTGCAATGGCTCGTAGTGGAGCTCTGGTGGCCTAGTGGTAAGAAGCTGCATTACCATCTCAAAGACACGCGGTTCGAGGCCACCAGCTGCTCCACAGGAGGGAGATGAGATGGGAAATCATCTCTCATGTGATTTAGAGTCTCTGAAAACACTCAATAGGGTCAGGTATGAGTTGGTTCCATTCAGCAGTTTTACAACAACAGTAGTCGTTTAGTGGTAAGGAGGTGTACTGCCAGCCCAAAGGAACACTGTTCGAATTTACCAGCCAGTCAGAGCACGGAAGATGCAGTCTCCCACCAAGCAATTAACTGCCTCCAAAAACCTGTTGGAGCATCGGTGAAGAGCATGTTCTGACTCAAGGGTACATAACAACAACAAAGCAGGTCGTATCAATGCTTTTCATATGATCATCAACAAGTATTGGCAAATCAAGCACTCACAAATTGCATTATTAAAAGTTATTCCATGCAACAATGAATGACTGGAAACCCCAAGTCTCTGTAAACTTTCATTACAATTAATTTAAAGCTATTTCAGGCACTGAACCATCAATGAAATTTTATTAATAAGTACATCAGTAACTACATAGCTAGGCTCCAGCCAGGTATTTTAAAACAAACATCCAAGTACATTTTTCTTGAAAGATGTTGTAAGCATTTCTGTGCCAAATTCAACATGTTTATCAATACCTGATGGATGGGGTGGTTTTTAATAATTAACCACTATTAACGACCCAGAATCCGACCGACGATGATAAGGCAGTTTCCAGTCCTAACAATCTAAATTTGCAGATGAAAATCACCTCTATATGACCAGCGCCTGTTCAAAGTGGCTCTAACAAAAATAAATGCATGTGAAAGGTAGTCTCTATGATGTTTGCAAAGCTATTGCTCCACAGAAGTGTTTTTAATTGTTGTGTTCACAAAATAAAATTTTTAAAATACATAATTTACTAGAAAAATAGTATTCTGTTAATTACTTAATTAAAAAATGGCAAGGAGTAAAATAATCACAAAAAAGCAAGAGATAAGATGCCAAACAGTCTATTCCTTAATAGAGACTCACTGTTTAAATGCTCAAAGTTCATTATTTCACATTGGCATTATGCTGTCTTATGTACCATCAAGAGGGAGCCCGCTCACATCTTACTGCCCAGCTCGTTTTTCAGAAACTGTAAATCCTACAGGAAGAGACTGCCCATCCTTCTCCCATTTTTTTTTTATTGAATCAATAGATACACTCTTAACATTTCCAAATATTGCTCTTTTCTTGTTTATAGAAATGTGGCAATGCATTAATAAATGCCGGGTGGTAATTTTTCTTCCTTGTAAAATCAGTGGACTCAAAACGAAAACACAGGGGTTTATGCAGGAACAAAGTTTACAAATCTATTTCTATTTACTCTATTTAGTCAGAGGTTAAGCACTCAGAGCCATGTGATTTATAAGCAGGATTGAATTTGTTAGGAATCCTGTCCAATCCTGTGCCATCCCAGCATCTCTGACATGCCTGAACCTACTGCTGCAGCACTTTGTCAGTCCATTTCACTGGGGTCTTCTTCTCCTTCATTGACCTCCCATTTTCCCAAGCATGACGTCCTTTTCCAAGGAATAGCCTTGCCTACCCAACGTCCAAAGAGTGAGAGGCAAAGCTTTGTCATCTTCGACTCAAGGGAGCATCCTGGCTGGAGAAAATGTCTTGGATTTCTTTTAAGATCACTAAATATTCCAACTCCAGTCAAAACAGGAGTTGTAGATATCGGTAACAAACTACCTTCGCATCCCAAGCTTAGTAGAAGACGGAAAAGGTAAAAGATAGTGAAAGTGGAAAGAGCATGTTTCTACAGCCACTTCTCAGAGCCTCGTGGCACACGTAAGATGAATTTTTAACAACCTGCCAGAGGAAAAGGATGGCTGGGTTTCAAGTTTTGAACAATAGTTATGTTTCAAAAATAGCTGTCATTATTTAATCCTTCTAAACATAGTGAACACTACTCCCAAAATATACTTTTGAAAAAACATTTCAAGCTATTCTAGGAAAGTGAAAACTTGAAGGGAAACACCAAATCCATGGCAGGAAGGTAAAGGTTTGGTAGAAGAATTAACTATGAAGTGACATGAGAGATTGCATGAACTGATGCTGGTGCCCTGTATCGACTGTGATCACAGGCACGCAATTTTAAACATCAAATCAAAGCTCATAGAGAGCTGAAATGAAAAACGGTGGATTTTAACATACACTACACTTCAGTAAAAATAATTACGGGGGAAAATGATAGAGCAGAAGGTAGTATAACATTGTTATTAATAAAAATTGTGAGCATAAAGTGATTTCTAGTGAAATAGAAAAATGGGGTGGGGGAGTCTTATTTTCTTCCTGATACAAAATGTCTATACTTCCCAAGGTATAAAAATTATTACTTCATCACCATCCAAGAAGATGAACTATTCCTTGGAAACATGAAGAAGAGAGCACTTATAAAACACTTAGGTGGAAATTTTGGTTTCTGATAAACTGAAGATCAAGACTATAAAAGTGGTCAACAATTATATGGTAGCAAGTCACTTCTATCTCATGTGCTTGATGTAAAGGAGTAGACTTGTCAAGTGAGATAAAA